TGTGGGAAGGAGACATCTCCTTAGTCCTATGGCTAGATGAAAGAGAAACGAGTGCCCCAAACAGTGCCTTTGAAATGGGCTTTTGGGAATTGATAGATATTAGTAAAGTCCCTAATAATATGAGAATTATCATTATCATGAATATATATATGTGTGTATATATATATATTAATATTTTGTTTGAGACAGAGTCTTGCTGAGTTGCTATGTACTTTGGCAGCTTGCTGATACTGGCTTTGAAATCGCTATACTCTTGTCTCTGCCTCCAGAGCCACTGGTGCTCCAGCCCGCCAGGTTAGTGATTATATATATATGAGAGAGAGAGAGAATTTTTTTTTTAGATGGACACAACACAATGCCTTTATTTTTATATGGTGCTGAGAATCGAACCCGGTTGCGCCCGTGCTAGGGGAGTGCTCTACCGCTGAGCACAATCCCAGTCCCCATGAATATATTTTTAATGAGAAATTTTTCCCTCAAACCAACTTATTTCATGTAATGAGGGTTTGCAATGAAAAAATGGAATAAATGAGAGAGAGCTATTTGGGCTTGTTAGTGATTTTGCCACCAGTTTTCAGTCATCAGAAAGACTTTTTCTATTATAAATGTTTAGTTTGTGTCATTTACATATGTTCTTAACTTTCATACACTTAGCATCAACATTTTACAATCTGTATTGTCTATTATTTTAGCTTTCATAAGCTTTAGAGAGCTTATAAAATTATGTAAATTTGAAAAATATTATCTCATCACAAGTCTTTGGAAATGTAGAATGGCCAGATACTGATTTGAGATTTTAAAAAATAAGGCTTTCTAAGAATTATTTATTTATTTTCCTCTCTTCTGGGACGCTAAATTAATTCTTGTCTCTAGCCCTAATTTGGGGTTTGGCTTTGTTCTTTCTTCTTCTAACCCTCATTTACTTGCTTCCTGTCTCTTCTTCTTTTTCTCCATTCTTCTCCTGCCCTTTCTCTCACCAATGACTTTAAGAGGAAGCACTGTTCTAATGCTCCATTCATAATTTTCTCAGTATTTTTATGAAACGAGGCAACAGCACATGCAGGGCTTGATTTCTGTGACCCACACTCTCACTCATGTTCTCTTATTCTGAATTCCCTTAATGATACTTTCCTTGTGTAAAGTTCTAGATTTTCAAAAAAACATTCGCAGATCCATTTTTCTTTAGATGTCTTTTTAAATTGCTTTACCAAATCACCATTTTCTCCACTGAACATGTGCCACATTTACCTTATTTACTCACACAATCCAGTCTTTAATATACTTAACTTGTCTAACAGATATATAGACCCTTAGAAAAGAGATTGTGTCCTTTGAATTTTTAATTGCTTCAGATCCTTTGCAAACTATCTTTTACTTAGTCAATGCCCAAGAGATATCTGCTTAAGTCTGCTACACAGAATTAAATTAGAAATCAGTTTTATCCCAAAAATTCAACTCAAGGCCACATAATTCCATCCTCCTGGCTTGCTAGCTTTTCTTTGATCGATGAAATTGCCATAATAATATTCACAGCAGCAACTCAGGGCACAAAGCACCACAAAGTTGAAAGGGTTGGTTCTTAAAGACACAGAATTCAATCCCAAAATACACAGCCTCCTTTCTTCGTGAGGAAAGCCAGGGTGGCTATTCCAGCACTACCAGTGGATGCTCACAGGAGTAGGCTGACTACTGAACTGCTGGAGTAGCTCATTTACAGAGAACATTTGGCTCAAATGGCAGTAAGGAATGACACTTAAGTAAGTGGTTAACACTTTTATTTCAAAAAGCAGGATATCTTATATAACACTTTCTGAGAAAATAATTAAGATACTGTAATTAACTGAATCCGATATTTTAAACACAATAAGAATGTATAGAAACTTTAAAATGTGGGTTTATTCAAATTTTATTTAAATACAATACAATTTAATTGGGAGTTTTAAGTGGTGATTTCTGTCTTTCACAAAATGAAGCTCTTTTGCAGATTTTCTTTAATTTATTTTCTTAAATTTTACAGCCTTGATGTATCTTACAAGGGTTTGATCTTTTAATGTAGAATATAAATAATGCTTTTAATATTTTTTGGTGGTATATGTGCCATGAAATGTCCATTTTCCTTTTTATAACCAATGCAAGACAAACTAACACTAGCACAAAAAGGAATGGAAGCATCTAAAAATCTTGTCCCACTCAAGTAGCATACAGTCTGACATTCAAAACAAATTCTTCCCTGAAAATTGTAATTGCTCTCCATCCTCTTCGAAAAGGAAAACAGAACATAATGTAGAAACATGTATATGATTCATTGGTCCTCACTGGATGTACATTTCTGCCTGCATTGGCTGTCCAAGGAAATGAAATGACTAAACCTATGGTTTCTTTTCTTTTTTTTTTTCATTTAATTTTTTTTTTAGCTATGATCATATGACCTTTTTAAATTAAAAACTTCTTTACAATGTCATTTCTTTTTCAGTTTCTATAAGCTATCTCCTTCCACTACAAAAAACTGATGGGCACTTTTCACATTAAATGCACATGAAAGTGGGAAAACAAACTTATAACCTTTAAGTTTTCTGGGTGTTATATAGAAATATCCATTCCTATTTCTTAAAAGTGCGTCTATCTTGGTTTATTCTGGATTCTCCCCATTTACCAACTTAGCATTTAGTACTTACTGTTCAGTACTGAGTATGGCAGTGTTTAGCAGTGTGCATCTTTTTTCTCCCTTTTTCTTTGGTTCCCATACTTGGGTCCAGCGTTAATTTTCATGTAAGAGCTTTATTCACTTAAAACTGTTAATCGTTATGTCTACTATACTTAAAAGAGGTTGACTCACAACTCAAATGCTCACCCACACACACTGAAGAAAAGTTTCCATTTTGTAAAGCTAACATTCATTATTCAGTATTTTAACATGTCATAGAACTTTCCATTTAGAATTTTACTTAAAATATATATTCTTCACATGAAGCTGTCATATAAAAGAAAGAATATCTTCTCTGATTTCAAAACCATCAAAGTAGATTTTTAAAAACTACTTTCCAAACCCCAGGAGTAGCATACTTGAAGGGCAAGAACAGCAGTATCTTTTGAAAATGAATTGGGAAAAGTCAAATTAGATTCATATTTCAACATTTCTTAATGGTACCAATGAATCCAACTGACTGAACTGAACAGGTGAGTAACTACTATTAGCACTAATTGTAGGTATGTAACTACACCGAAGCAAAACTGCATCTCATTCTTTCAATTATTGAAATCATGTAGGCAGGTTGTTTAATTTGCCTCATCTCACTGTCTCTCTAACAGCTTTGCAGTGCACAGATTGTTCAGAGGGATTCACAAACTGTTGCCGCCTTCAAACGATATACTACTCTAAAAGGTAGCCAAGAAATAATTGTATGTTGTACTGAACATAAAATAATTTGTGGCTTCAAACATGTTTTTGACACAAAGCCTGAGTGCCCATTGTAGAAAATTTTGTCAATTCATGTGAAAATATTTACTACCTGTAACCATAGATACACAAAATCATTGTGTGTGTTATGTAACATTATGTCAGTAATGCATTTGTTACTGTTTTGAGATTTCTTTTGGTCTAGATTACTGTTCTGTCAAATAACTTTTATTATTATTATTGTTATTATTATTATACTACAGTAAGTGATTGCTATACTAAATTTGCAATTGTAATCATAATTTTCCTGGGAATGCTAAATTATGTCTTAATTTTATTCAAAGCTTTTATTTTTAAAGCAATTAAACTTATTGTTGATTGATATTTACCATCCAATGTTCCTGAAACACTAAAAGAGTATGTTTTATACATAATCTTCCATTATACCACATTGCTTGAGAGTAGCTATTTGATATAACAGCATTCAGTTGAGTTTTCAAACCAAAGAACTAAAATTATAGCAATTTCACTTGAAATCCATAAATCCATGCACAGGATTGTGTTCAACAGAATCACTAAATGCTATTTGTTATTCAAAGATGAATGAATCAATAGAAAAATAGAACTGATAAATCATTGGCACTTTAATGCAGAGTGGAGAGGAAAACTAATAAATCATGCATTTCAAGCACTTGTTTTCCTTATGGCATGTTTGAAAACATAAAACATGCAATGATGAGATGCAAGTCAATATGAATGAACAATACCAAGACTGCTCAGAAGCATTTCATTTTATATCACAAGCTTAAAGAAACACTAAGAAAAGTAGTAATTCCATGATTTCTTTAAATAATCAAAGAACCCAACCATGCCATGAACACCTTAAATAGTGATCTAGGCCATTTAATATTTCCAAATAAACATTTGAAATGTCATAGAGATGGGACTGGAATACGTGAATGGGAGGGGGCTAATTGCATGCATGATTTGATTCAATGAGCTCAATATTATTACAGATACCAATTTATACTAGAAGGGAACTGATATAATCATTTACTTTCTTCAAGTGCACTTAACTGATCCATTAAAAATTAAAGACATCTATATTTATAAAGGACCAAATAACCAATAAATTGGCTCAAGCTTTGTGCTGTATGACCTATTGTCTATGAAAGGTGAGAATTTTGATAATAATAAATGGGTAACTCACTCTCTTCCCATATGTTACCTCTCAAAAATTAATCATAAGAACCATAAATTTGTTCCACATAATTATGCATTAACCCATTTCTCTGAAGCATCTTTTTCTGAAAATTTGGTGAGAAACACATTAATTAAGCACATATTTTAAAACATCTATTTGGTTTCTGGTGTGATTATAAATTTTCTTCTATATTCTCATGCAGAAAGGGATAAAGCTTGCCATATTACCACACTTCACTGCCAAGAAACATATTTTAATTCATTTTTTGGAATTAAAAACCAATGAACAAAATAAAAAAAAAACATTTTCTATTTTTTAGCACAAGAAAATCTTATACCTGATATTTATTTCCACTCAGAAGAGTTAAGATGTTGAAGAAAAACTATTTAGTATCATAGACAACTATTGAATAGAACCTTTGAGTTAAAAGTGTCTCCTTAAGTCATCAAAGATCATTTGATACACTAAGAGGGAAAAGTATAGCAATCTGCAACTATGATCATTGCAGCATTACTGATTAATGCTTATTAATAATTAGAATCACACTGAGACTTGTGTTTCCCATGGTATTTCCTTTTCACGTTTCACAGGTTTTTCTCACAGATTAATAAATGGAAATTGAGTAAGAGTCAGTGGGAGACATAAAACTCTTTGGGAATGCATGCAACAAAAATATGCAGTACCACTTCATGTAAACTTCTGCTTTCTTCATGCAAAGGTGCCTATAAAAACTGAGACAATAAATTTTCTAATAGCTGAATTTTACATTAGCTCAGAAACACAATCTATTAAACCAATTCCATGATTTTGCATGAACAGAAGACTTGAAATGGTTTGAAGATTTCCAGCATAAATGTTCCATGGCCCAATTATTCTAATTAAATTTCTAAGAACAAAATCATAGAAGATTATTCCTTGCTTCGGTTTCTTGTTCTTTTGACGAGGGAGCAGAATAACCCGGTTTTTGGAGGAGGGCCCATCAGCATTGGGGCTTGGTTCTTGTGTGTGATTTTTATCTAGAAAAAAAAAAGAGAGAGAGAGAGAGAAGGAGTAATCTCCAAATACAATACTGATTTCACAGAATCCCTGCTAAGGTTAAAAGTATTTCATTTGTTACTGAAACACCACAAGAGTAAAATTTCCTTTCAGTTTTTTTTTTAAATTTCTAACATACTTTTAAAGGAAACAAGGATATGCATTTAAATAATATTCCAATGCTAAATATACTAACAAAAAATAAAATTTAGCTGAAGTCACACTTAAATATGATGTTATCTCTAACCTAGCTAGTAGTACTGTAAAACCCCCAAACTCTTTATTTAGGCTATATGATAACTGACAATAATTTCTTGACCATTAGTTATGTATTATTTATTGAAAGCAGGAAAAGATGCACCATTACTGTATCCAGAGTCCCAGTGATGGCCCCACATTAACATGTGCTTAGTTGGAGAGCCTTATTTATCTTGCTAATCATATTGTTTCTTTCTTTTAACATGAACTGCAAGGTTTAATTCCCAAACAATCATTAAGAATGAAAGTCAAAAGTTAACATGCAAAAAAGGTCAGAAATGATGAACTAGCTTTCTAATTTGTTAATTAATTGGTAATAGAAAAGAATCAAATATTGAAAAGCCTGCTTAAAACACTTAGACTGTTCTAAAGCTACTCGTTTTGATTTCTTTAATATAAAACTACGAATCACCTTAAATGAGACAACCTTAAAGTAGATTATGTCTGCAATTTTCTCTAATTCAACTCTAAATTAGAGAAGACATTTTATGAATATATGCTATGCTCAAAGCTAATTGAAAGCAATTATCAAAGTGGCATTTTGTCTGTGACTTTAAGATACATTGTAAGATAATAAATGATTCTCATTATGTAATAAAAAGGTCACATCTTGCCTTTGGGCTAGTGACGCTAAGAGTTTTTCAAAAGCAATCTGAGACATTTTCTTTAGCTTACTGTGACTAATACAAGAACCATCGCTTATTAAATATCAGTTGTCACCTGCACGGTATCCCTATCAGAGATGAGTATTTCTTTCAAAAAGAAACACCACCTCATTAAAACCTGCAAAAAATATATCTCTTAAAGTGCATACCTGACATTTTCAAGTTAAAATGAATATCCTTCACTTGTCATTCATTAATAGCAATGAAACAAAAAGAAAAAAGTTTGTCACATGAACAGGATCATTAAAATCAGTACTAGGCTTTTGGCAAATGGAAATTCACTTCACAGCCTAGAAAGACAGGAGTAAGTGAGAAACCTTGAAAGAATGAACAACTTTATTTAAGTCTGTTGGAATCAGGTTATACTAGAAGGGTTCAGTGTTCTTCTTTTCACTGTAAAAATAAATTGCACTTGTAAAAGGTCACTAGGCTAAGCTGGCCCCAAATCTCTGGATATCTTACTTTATTATATTTTTGTTATCTTAAGAAGTGGGCAGATGATAGCCACACAGATGAGATGCCAAAAATGTACCTGTCTGTATAGATTTAAAATGGTCTCTACCAAATTTTATCTCTTAATAATTGTTTTAGATTACACTGAATATTAAGCCATTGATTTTTAAACTCCTCTGAATTCTAGCTTTAGACAAGATCTAATATAGTATCAATCATCATTTATTCGTTTTATAAAATTTATTCAGCCTCTATTATTCTTTGGACATTTTACCAGGAACTTAGAATAAATAGACCATACACAATTTTTGCTCCCAAGAAATTATAGTCTAGTAGGACAGAGAACTTGAGGAAGCACATTTAATATTATTATCCACACTGAAATAGGAGGCTAAGCAAAGGCACTGTATTTTTCTGTGCTGGAAATGAAAATGAGTCAATTTATACATGCAAAAAAAATGTTATTTTTAAATGAGTACCTGGGGAAGTGGTTATTACCTATTACTTACATGATAACCTTAAAGTCAAATGAAACAGCAGGTAAAATTAGAAGACATATTTCTGATTCACAATTGCTAGACTAACTCCTTTAAAAGGTATAGTATAAAGACATTTCAGAAAATGAGATAATTTTATTCAATTGTTATTAAGTCTTTGGAAGAAATTTATTTTTATAGTCACATATAAAATGAGCATCAATTTATGACAAAGTATAGCCAAGATGTCACAAATTATTGCCTATGAGATTTTTTTTTGTTCTTGTGTGGTTTCTTTTAGGTATTTGAATTTTGTTGGATCATGAGTATCTTTACATTGAATATCCTTCTTCAGAAGAAATCATGTTCTTATTCCTTTGAAATAACAGTATCTCATTCAAATCTCTTTACAGACTATGACTCTGTATCCTTGTTACTAATAATTCACTTCTATTTTTCTGTTTTGAAAGAGTTTAACAGCCAATTCTATTTTTATAATTATTTATAATCTGATTTCTTCTTTGTTTAACTTCTCTGTTTAACTTCTTTGTTTAACTTTTGGTCAAAATATACAACTCTTTTTAAAATCTAACTTTATTTCTGTAAAGAATTAATTCCATATCATTTTTATCTGTCCATGGAAATGAAAAACAACTGGTTATTTCCCTCTTGGTGAGGGGAGGTAACATGGAGAAAACCAGCATTCACAAAATATCTATAATGTTTCCAGGTTCTCTGCACATATCCTCTCATTGGAAAATTACATGTCTTTGTATATTTGGGCAGAAGCAAAAATGAACCCATTAGAGATAAACCTGGAATGACTGCAGAAGTTAGAACATTGCCGTAAAACTGCAAGGTAAATGTTGTCGTCAATGGAATGATCCTCTATCAAAACTCTTCCTGTCTCCTGAGCATCTACTAGTTTGAAACCAACAGCAGCAGAAGAAAGGAATTTCTGCTGCCCATGGTTTTTCTATTTGTCTTTCTATTTCAAATTAATTTTGTCCATATCTAAAAATATGGAAATTAAAAATTTGATTTTGGTTTTAGTTTTATGAAACAAGGATTTAACATAGAAACCAATAACCAAATCAAAGATAAAAAGCATTGTTTTTTGGTGGTAAACTGTTAATATTATTAAGGTTGCATAGTGTGCTAGCTTTAGCTCCTAATAGTAAAAATGCCAGCACAAATATATGCAATTATTTTTTATCAATTAATTTTTTTCAAAGACTAATAGTAAGAATAAAGTATTTATTTGGCTTTTATTCTGGGCTGAGTTTTATATCCATTGTTTGCTATCTGGGACTTTTGGGATATTGTTGTCATTCATTTCTCTCATTGGTACTGTAAAGATTTTAATATAGTGTCTTATTGGTTTCCTGTAAACATAAATGAATCGATGTACACAAAATGCTTAGAATGTTATTTGGCACATAAAAAGCACTCATTAAATGTTAATTATTAGTAGGAGAATTAGAGTAATGTTAGTGTTAAAAACCATCTCTCCACAAAATGAATTAAATACAGTGTACCTAAAACTAACACAAAATTAACAGAAAATTACTTACACATATGGAGTAAACTATTAGAAGAATCAGAACAGTTCATCTGAGGAATGGACTTGTGACACAGTACTATTGATGAGACAAGTCTATAATTGTAGTTTTTCAAATATTATCTTGATATAAATGTTAAATAACTTTAAAAATTCCCTATGCAGTGATTATATTGTATCGCAGTGTTCTTAGTTCTTCAAATGCAGTCCAAAAACAAGGCACTTACATCATTCTTAAGAAATACAGATTCCCCATAACTTCTGAATCAGATTCTACTTTATAACAAGAATCACACATGATTTATATGCATGTTTAAATTTGGGAAGCCTGGGTCCATATGTCATTTTATTTTCTTCCTAAGAGGCAAGGTCAATAAATCACTGCTGACTGAAAGAGAACAGCATCCCAAAATATGACTGAGAATTAATAGTAACAAAACAAATATTTTCAATTACTTGTTATCTTTATACTTAATCTTCTAGGTACCACCTAATTTTCATTTAGTGCTGGAGATTTCAAGTTAAATAGCCTTTTTCTTTTCTTAACCTATGAATTTTCTAGTCTAATGACAGTGAGAAATATGTATACATGTTGTGCTATAGAGATCCTTTCAGTTTGTAACACACACACACACACACACACACAAAATTAGGATCATGGTAGAAGGACAGTGATGTAATTAAAGGAGTTTCAGTCACACCATCATAAATTAAGGGTTGGGTGCAAGACCAGAGGCAGGAAAAGGAGGTATATGGTTAATGTAGTAATTCAGAAAAGAAGTTCAAGAACTTTAGTTATGGTAGTGCCAAAGACATTGCAGTAGGGGGCATATATAAAAGGCATTCAGGAGGAAAAATCTATAGGCTGAAGCAGATGACTGGATGTGTGGTATATTGGAAAAGGAAAAATTTCTAGTATGATTCCCATGCTTTGGGTATTAGTTGTTAGTTGTGAAGTGACACTATTTTATAGCAAAATAAGCATTTTTTTTTTTTTTGGCAGGGATGAGAATCAGAAAGTTAGTGAAGTCAGAGTTGAATGTGACATTTTAAAGGAGAGGTTCAAGATTTTTTGAAAATGTGAGTCTGGTGTTTAGAATGGGGAATAGGTCTTCAGACAGATTTAGTTTTGCTACACATATAGTAATATCATTCACTTAGATTACTGAAGAATGGTATAGCAAATATAAACAGCAGATGTTAGACTTTGTTACTTGGGAGTATGGAAATTAGGGGATAAAGGAAGAGAATGATATCCTATGAAGAATATGAGTACAAAGAACAGGAGAGGCAGGAGAAAAAATGGAAAAAAAATGCCATTATGAAAACATTTCCAATCCATCTTCCGTGTGGCTTATTTCTCTTTTATTAAGTAAGGTGAAGACTTAATATTCCATTAATCTAGCAATATGCATGTGTATAAGTTAGTTTTGTGTCACTGTGACCAAAATTCATAACAGAAACAACTGAGAGGAGAAAAGGTTTATTGTGCCTTCTGGTTTCAGAGGATTAGTGCATAGGTGGCCAGCCCCATTTCTCTGGGCCATAAAGATGAGGCAGAACCTCAT